GCTTAGGCTCCCTTTTCCACTTTGACACTTGTCTTCCACATGGCTTCATCTTCTAATTTTTTATTATTTAATTCTTTATGGAGGTAGTGGCTGGACATATTACTTCTTCCAAAATTGTAAATAATTTGGGAATTTAGGAATCAAGTAGGACTCTACATCCTTTGGACCACTCATTCTCCCATGTTGTGTTGTCTTCTTCTTCTTTCTCTTTTTAGTTTCCTTCTTCTTCTCATCTTCAGCATCCTTCATCTCTTCTTTTTCTTATTGTGCAGCCATGCAAATTTTTCTTCTTGCTACAAATAAGGGGAAATAGCTTCAAAAAACTAGAAGATGGCTTGTAGCAAGGAGAATCCTTCTCTGGTTGCGGTATCTTTTTAGTCTCTATTATGCTTTTGTTTTGCATGTTAGTCAGAGTTCATGGAGAGGGCTTAAAGTCTCCTCAAAGAGAAACCTAACTCAGTCTTTCCTATTTTGGTGTAGTTCTCACGTGGGTAAACGGGACTGCAACTCCATTCTTTTCCTAAACTAGAACCATAAATGGTTAGGGCTTTTCTTACTTTCTTGGACCTGTTCTTGGAGCTTCTTGAGATTCAAATTCTATTTCGTGAGTGATCCAAGTTTGGACGAGCAAATTGAAGGCCTTTTAAAAGCCTTTGGCATGAGCTCGGGTAATAGGTCCCTTCAAAACTTGAGTCGTGCTTCCAACTTATCCCAAGTTGTCTTTTTGGTCGCTTATGTCCAGGTTTACATAAATGTGTTTTGTTTTTATCTTTGATATAATTATAGGTACTATGGAATTATGATAATTACAACTGCAATAGTTTATATGTAAGTAATAAATATATATTATAAGAAAGTATGCATATGCATAATTAGTATGAGTTTATGGTTGGATATAGTTGTGTTGATATAAATATATGTTTTTAATATGTGTAGGTATGGGTTGTGGTTGCTTATTGTTTGCATCATATGTTGGGCATATGCTTATTACGATATAAACCGTGTATGTTGGATATATATGTATGCATGAAATTGTTTGCTTAATATAATGTGTGTGTGTGTGTATGCGTAGTTGGATGTGAATTTTTCTTTTTAAAAAAATAAAATTTCAAGAATGTTTGAGTTTTTGAAGATGGGGGATGAAATAGAAATAACCCTTGAAGAGGTAAAAGGTTACCGGGTATCATGGAAGAAAGTGTACTGACTTAGTACATAGAGTGAACCCCTACCCTGGATGTGTTCTTAGTTGTACGAGACTGAAAAGTCCCATATCGGAAGGGATTGGGAGTTGATTTAATTGCGCTCATTACCGAACAGAGTATTGAGACTGTATAAAATTGTGACACCCATTACTAGACAGGGTATGGGGATGGCCGATGAATTATAAAAGAAATATTTTTTATATCCGTGTGTAGCGAGGATCCATATGGGCCCCCAATGATACTGGTAATAAAATAATAATTTGTATTGAAAATGGAAATGATCTGAATACATATATGATATGGTTGATAGAATTTATGAACGAAACGAAATTATCTGAATATGAATCTAATATGATATTATGATATTTATAGTATCTAAATATGAATATATTTAGAATGGGTAATGAAAAGGATGAGGTTATTGACTGTTTTTTTAGGTTATACTTTACGATAATAATGATGAGTATGATTGTCTTTCAAATTGGACTTCTTTAAATATAAAATCTGTATTTGTTTTATCAAATATGTATGACTGTTTGTTTGTATATCTTTGTCTGGATATTGCCCTATTCTTACTGAGTTTGTGAAGCTCACCCCAATTCACACCCCCTCCCACTGCAGATTAGTTCATATCAGGAGCAAGTTCAAGATGAAATGAAAACTTTAAAGGAACTTTTAATCATTTTGGAAGTTTTATTGTAAAGTGGATTTAGATATATTATAGTAATATAATTTAAAGATTTTTTTGAGCCTCATGAATGGTAACTCTATATGAGAGATGTATTGTTGATTTATAAATTTTAGCCTAATAATACGCAAACAATCAGGTTTTATGCGTATGATAACGCTCTTTTCTCAAAACAGAAGGCGAGATGTTATAGATGGTATCAGAGCTGCATTCCTTGGAACTATCCCTTGTGCCATGTGGTGTAGGATTCTTATGAGGTTTAGAGTCACAGGAAATTAGGTGGGCCAAAGAGTATTATTGTTGATTGTGTCATGACCTCAAGATCATGACAAAATAAAGAGCTTGGAGGTTTGTACCATTCTTTCAGAGCTTCACTATAATCTCAATTACCTGATTACTTATCTCATGGATACTATTGGATTTTCATCATAGATGATATTTTTACGAAGCGAGGCAGCAGTTAGCCTTCTACTTCCCCTATCAGTGCTTTTGCAAACACTTAAGTTATTAATGCTTTAATATTTCTATCTACAACAATATGCATTTCTAGGGATATTTTAGTTAATGGATAATTTATCCTCAATTGATTCCTTATGAGATGGAAGAGCTTTTAAAGACTAAGAAGAAAGAGAAATCCTAAAAACAAATACACTCATATGCAACATTTTGAAAGACCAAATAATTGTCCAATATTCTGATGAATTTTAGAATTCCCCATGAAATTTGCCTTAAAAATAACAGATATCCTATTTGTTGTGAATTCCCATCAAGGTTCCGCGTTGTAACTCATGTACCTCGTGGATAAAAACATTTTGGGAGATGGAATAAATCATGTGTTTGGTGAGTAAAAAAAAAAAAATGGTGCTAGTAGGTGAAACAAAGTACGCCTAATTAATATTTTTCTAAGCCTGCTACAAACTCAAAAAAAATACAATTCCTAAAGTCAATAGGCAGAATATTAAAATATTCAGAAGATTGAGTAACCATTCAAGATTTGAATAGATTTTGATGTTCTTTATGATTTTATTTTCTTTCTTCCTTTTTATGAGAAAGAAGATTTGACTTAGGTAATAATTGATCATATGAATGAGAAAAAGAAGATTACATTGAATGAGATAAAGTATACCCTATTAGTATTTTTATTCTTGAAAGTCTTTATTTATCCTAAATTAAGTTCTAATGAAGAAGATGTCCTAGGAACATGTTTTAACCCTAAATCATTAATAATATTAAAATAAATCCAGAATATAATTCTCTTATGCCAAAAGGGAACACAAAAAGAATGTAATATACCAAGATAAACTCTTAAAGCCAACATTGTCAGAGTGGCGCAATGAAAGTGTGGTGGGGATCCATGAACCATCACATATGAAAGCTTTCTCTTGTACGGACAAAGAGATCCATGAAGTATGACGGAATTTTACACAAACTTCCAGAGGTAATGTAGTTGTTTATTCTTTATTTAATTATAAAATCTTTAATACTGGCAAAAATAAATTCTTACAATTAATAATATTTTAATTATATTAATTAAATAAGATAATATGTATTTGAATTTATTGTCACTAATATATATATACGTATTGTATATTATATATTTAGTTATTAGGTCTTTAATAGTAATTAAGTTAAATTTTATTGCCAATAATAATATTTTACTATATCCGAGAATAGGTATTTAAATATGTAATAATTAATATTTATATATTGTATATAATAAGTTAAATTATAATATGTTTGATAATAACCAAAATATTTTCTTGTGAGTAGTAATTTAATTTATATAATATTCTCTTTGTTTTTCATAAAACATGTGAATTTAAATATATTTATATATACTTTATATTTATTTATTTTATGTTTTATTTATATTTTTAATTTATATATAATAAAAACTGTACGAATTAATGATAAGAAAAAAATATAAGTGATTGATCTATTTACAATTTAAAATATATATTTTTTTGCTAATGTTTCATTGAATTTTTTTGACATAACATATTTCAAAAATTTGAGAGTAAAATTATAAATAATTATAATTGAATATATTATATATTTTAACAAATTAAAAAGTTTTATATATATAATGTGTCAGGAAATTTTATAATATAAATATAATAAAATTTTAAATAATAATTTTTCAATTCTATAATTTATTTAATTTAAGTATTTCCGTAATTTATATTGATAAATAAGGATAAAAATTTGTCATTATAGAAATCAAACATATAACTCATATAATTTAATTATATAGCAAATATATAAATGACAAACTAAAATCTATCAAATAATTAATATATCATGTAAAAAACAACTAATATATGACAAACCAAATTTGTACCCTACTACACCCAAAATACTTTTTAGATAAATTATATATATATTATTATATATAAAAATTATCTAAAAGTGAAATAATTTCTTATAAAAATATAAAAATACCAAATACTAACTTTTAGTAGAAAATTCCCATTACGAATAAGATATGACAAAAAAAAAGTGATTAAAAATTTAAATAGTGAATAATTTTTAAGATTTATAATTAATTAAAAATTAATCATATAACAAATTTATCACATCATTTTTGTTTTTATATTTCAAAAATTATTTAGCATATACTTTATAGTTAATTAAAAATAACTATATTTTTAATTTAAAAAGATAACTATTATATTTATTATTACATTAATAATATTTAAATTTATTTAGTACGTAATAATATTTAATTAAAAATAAATTACCTTATTTATTTAAACATGTAAATAAATAACTAATATATATTTTAAGATTATTTATAATTCTTAAAACATTAATACAAAAATTTTGATTTTAATTATACATATAAAATAAATTTTGACTAAATACAATTAAGTGTAAAAAATATACAACATGAAATGATCTCTAAGACATAATTTTATTAGTTGAATATTGATTATGATTAGGTGAAAAGCACCAGCTAACTTCCCAATATGCTTCTGGGTGTCAGGTATCGAAAAGGCAATATTCCTAATTTGTCCGCACTTGAATTTATTTTATTACTAAAAAACTAGAGCGAGTACGTTCGGAAGAAGGTTCCTTGTCATTACATAAAAAGTTCCATTAATCTACCAATTTTATTTTTCCATTACAGGCCCCACCGATGGGGATTTAGCTGAAACGGATTAGATATGATATGTAATAATAAAGTAAAAGATAATGACATAAGCTTTTAATTGAATCTAAGATCTACCATCCGATTAGACTTGCCCGTCTCTGATTCGGTAAGCCTACCATTTAGTAGATCATCGAGACGGGGAGGATTCTTACCGTCCGCTCTTTTAAGACACAAACCAAAACGCGGATTTGCGCAGAGAGCCGAAAAAACAAAGACAGTATAAATGCGAAATATACAAAAGAGCGGATCCGCCAAATGGAAGCGACCAAATTAGCAGCGCTGATTCGGTTGCCATAGTTTCAGAGTCTGTAGATTCTCTCTTTTAGTCGTTGATCAACTCTGTGGCTCCTTTCTTTTCAGAATTTATTACAGAGGATTTTGTTACAGTGTATATAAGTCTACCATATCAAAAATAACAACAGTAGATATTATTCTTCGGTTCATATTCTAGTCTTTTCGGGTATCTCTTTGCTGTGCAACAGCGGGATGATTTTGTTTTGGTATCTACTCTTACAATCTTAAAATTGATGTTAATTTTCTAATTTTTTATTTTGTTTCGTGATGAAATTAGGAAAGGAGCAAAAATGGCGATGAGAGAAGCGAAACTCGCTTACCTTGTGTTGCTGTTTATGAGATTAGCGATGGTTTGATAAAACCCCATCCAGAAGATCTATCCGAGTGTCCATCAAGAATCCCAAGTATCTCTAATAACTGCCACTACCAGTAAAAGAAGCGGTCAACAAAACATCCTCAGTGAATCCCACGATTCCACTATCTGTTCTTCCACCAACCCCAGTATCTTTTCGCTTTTATCTATTTGAATTTCTAATAATTATATAGAAGCATAAGAGTAGGAAATGCAGTTGTAATATTTCTCTATTTAAGCACTTCAAAATCATGAATAAAGATATAGATATTTACAGAATTCTTACTGGTCTTTTCTCACCAAAAGAGAGAGCTTTTTATTGTAATTTTGTGCATCTGACTGGGACCAACCATTTGGTATCAGAGCACGGTTGTTATGGCTACAAGGAACGCATCGAGAGCTTGGAAGTGGGGCTCGGCGGCCTGCAAGACAGCTTCAACCGCATGGAGTTGGGACTAACCAAGCGAATGCGGATGCTAGAGGAAAATATTAACAGACTCTCGGACTCGATCACCATTGGCCGAGAAGTGTCCAGCAGCAATCACCACAGCTGACCCGGACTGCTTTGCCTAGATTACGACGAAAGTATAGAACGTGAAGAAGGTAGGCTCCCGACCTTCCCGCGATTGACTCGGCTCGAGTTTCCCTCATTTAGCAGAGGCGACCCCACCAAATGGCTCAATAGAGTGGGATAGTTTTTCGATTTCCAGGCGATGGCCAAGCACCACCGCGTCGCTCTGGCTTCCTTCCATCTTGAAGGGGAAGCCAATTGCTGGTGGCAATGGCTCAGCAAAACGTACAAGGAAGGACCGGATCGTGGATTGGACCAGTTTTGAAGAGGAGTTGTGGGCCTGTTTTGGGCCAACCGAATTTGAAGACTGTGATGAAGCCTTGACCTACATCAAACAGACTGGGTCGTTAAGGGATTATCAGCAGGAGTTCGAGAGGTTAGGCAATCGGGTCCGAGAATATACCCAAAAGGCCTTGGTGGGGGCTTTTATTGGCAGGCTCAAGCTCGAGCTCGCTGATGGAATCAAGATCTTCTGGCCTAGGAGCCTTAAGGACGCTATCGGCCTGGCCCGTATGCATGAAAAATAAGTGGATCATCAGAGAAAGATGAACCGACCTGAACGGTTCGTGACCGGTTCGTCTGCAAACCACATAGTCTCCAAAACACCAATCGGGCGCACTCAGCAAACCCTAGTTGCCCCGAACACAACAAAATGCAACTCCTGGGATAAGATGCAGCAGTGGCGAGCACAAGGATTGTGCTTCAACTACGATTTCTCGGCAGGCCATTGATGCCGCAAATTGCAGCTCCTACTCCTCGAAGGAGGTAGTGTCGGGGAAGAAAAAGTCAACAAAGAGGACCCAGAAATCTCTCCACGTCCTAACTGGGTAGTCCACAACCCGAACCATGAAAGTACCAGCTTCCGTTAGACGGCAAAAGGTCATCGTCCTCATCGACAGTGGATCTACCCATAATTTTATCAGTGATCGAATAGCGGGTCGCTTGCAGGTTCCTGTAATTCCGATGCCTGCATTTTCGATCAAGGTGGCCAACAGGGATCCGATGAAATGCTCCGACCGCTTCGAGCACGTGTCGATCTCCCTTCAAGGTATCCCCTTCTCCCTAACTTTTTACTCATTACCACTGATCGGGTTTGATGTTGTTTAGGAGTTCAGTGGCTTGAATCATTGGGACTGTTGCCTGTGATTGGAGGAAAATAACGATGAAATTTCTCTAGATGAACCAACCGCGGCGATTGTGCAGCCTGGGTGCCTCGCCACTCTTGGTGGCTTCCCCGGAGGAAATCAGCAAGTCTGTGGCCAAGCAACACTCTGCATATGCCATCTGTTTTATGAAAAAACACCAGGTCCCCTCTCCATTTGAGCAGCCCGAGTTACGACAGTTAATTGACCAGTTTTCTGATCTATTTGAATAACCCAAGTAGTTTCCTCCTCAAAGAGACATTGAACGCCGAATCCGAATCTCCCTCAAAGATGGCATTGAACCAGTAAATGTGCGTCCATACCGCTATACACATTTTTAGAAATCAGAAATTGAAAGATAAGTGTTTGACATGCTCAAAGGTGGCCTCATTCGGCCAAGTACAAGTCCATTTTCATCACCGGTGCTGTTAGTTCGTAAGAAGGATGGGACTTGGCAATTTTGTACTGATTATTGATCACTCAACACGGTGACCATCGAGGACCGTTTTCCTATTCCGACAATGGAAGATATGTTGGATGAGCTGCATGGGGCCGTATATTTCACCAAACTAGACCTCACTGCCGGATATCGTCAAGTCAGAGCCCACCATACAGACATATCGAAGAGTGCGTAGTGCCAGCTGGTTTTCTTTGGTGATATTCTAGTGTATAGTGCCAGCTGGGAATTACAACTCGTCCATGTCAAGACAGTTTTTGGGGTCCTCAAACATCATCAGTTTTTTGTGAAGCTCAAAAAGTGCACATTCAGGTGTCAAAAGCTAGAATACTTGGGTCATATCATTACCTCAGAAGGTGTCAAGGTAGACCAACAAAAAATTCAAGCTATGTTGGAATGGTCGAGACTTACTATGATCACAGAGCTCCGAGGTTTGTTAGGATTCACTGGTATGATCGCAAGTTTGTACAAAACTATGGAATAGTGGCTCGTCCTCACACCAACTTACTAAAAAAAATGACCTTCAAGTGGAGCACAAAGGTAGACATCGTATTTGGTTGATTTGTCCTATATGTGAAAATCTAAATCAGGCAAATCTTTACTCGGAGTAGAGCCTAAACCTACAAAAATTGAATACAAAATGAAAGAAGCCAATTCAGGAATACGAAAACACATCGCGATTTGGATTTTATCTCAATGAAAAAAGCATCAATGAGAAGTTAGTCCGATAATCTTAGTGAATTTTTTTTATATTGTAGGATTATAGAAAAAGGGCCAAAACTCATCTTTCTTTAAAAACAAAAGAAAAAAGGCTATTTTTAAAAAGTTATAAAAAGTCTGCTATTAAATATGAAAAAAGCAAGAGGGCTGAATCTACGCATTGATTTTGTTCGTAATTTTTGGCGAACCATATGCATCAAAAGGTGCTTGTACGGCTCCTAAAGGATATAATTTGATTTTATCCTAACCAACTAACTTTATCGAGAAAGATTGCTTTTTTTAGGCCAAGAGGTTGATAGCGAAATCTTAAATCAATTTATTGGTCTTATGGTATATCTCAGCATAGAGAGTGATACTAAAGATCTTTATTTGTTTATAAACTTTCCTAGCGGATGGGTAATATCTGGAGTGGCTATTTATGATACTATACAATTTGTGCAACCAGATATATAAACAATATGCATGGGATTGACTGCTTCAATGGGATCTTTTATTATAGTCGGAGGAGAAATTACTAAATGTCTAGCATTCCCTCATGCTTAGCGCCAATGATTTTTTTTCATTTGCAAGAAAAAAAAAGAAGACTATGCCTTCCCCATATGAAATATGAATTAATAAGTAATAATAGCATGGCACTTCGAGATGTAGAAACCGTCTTCACTGAATTGAAGCATGCCATGACCACCACCCCTACTCTGGCACTCCATAACTTCAATGAAGCCTTTCCCATAGAAACTAATGCATATGGAGAAGGAATTGGGGCAATCCTCACCCAACAAGGCAAGCCCATTGCATATATGAGTCGTGCTTTGGGAGCATCCAAGTTATCATGGTCCACCTATGCCAAAGAGTTAATGGCCATCATCGTCGCCATTCAAAATTGGAGGCCGTATCTACTGTGGTGCAAATATTTTATCAAAATTGATCAACGCGACTTAAAATACTTGATGGACCAACGGATCACTACCACAGAACAACAAAATGGGTCTCTTAGCTATTCGGCTATGATTATGAGATACTGTATAAGCTAGACAAAGAAAACCAAGCAGCGGATGCCTTATCCCCAAAATTCCATAATCCTACCATGCATGCTCTCTTTATTGCCAGCACAACTCTATGGGACCAGATTAGAAAGGAGTCTGAAAAAGACCCTTATGTCTAAAAAATTATAAAGAAAGTAAGAGAACAACCTGGTCAACCATATCTAGATAAGAATGGATTGGTCTACTACAAACACCGAGTTATCATCCCTCCTACATCATGTATTATTCAACAGCTTCTATAAGTCTATCATGATTCTCCTATGGGCAGTCACTGTAGTATTCTCCGTACTTATAAACGACTAGTGCAGCAATTCTATTGGCCATCCATGAGACGGACCATCCGAGACTATGTGGCCGTATGTGAGATCTACCAACAAACCAAGTTTGAAACTTTGTCTCCAGCAGGGCTCCTACAACCTTTACCAATTCCATGTCAGGTATGGGATGACATTATCATGGATTTCATTGAAGGCTTTCTGCCTTCTCAGGGAAAGAACACTATTTCAGTAGTTGTCGATCGACTTAGCCAATCTGTCAATTTCTTGGCATTGAGTCACCCGTACACCGCCAAAGTGGTAACAGAAAAATTCACAGAAAATACAGTCAAGCTCTATGGCATGCCTCGCTCCATTATAAGTGACTGGGATCCTATTTTCATTATTCATTTTTGGCAATAATTATTTAAACTTTCAGGGACCAAATTGAAGATGAGCTCAGCCTACCACTCTCAAACCGATGGTCAATCAGAGGTAGTCAACCGATGTGTCGAACAGTACCTCTGATGCCTTACACATCAGCGGTCAAATAAATGGTGCTCTTTCCTTCCATGGGCGGAATATTGGTATAACACCACCTACCACTCATCCATTGGAATGACGCACTTTCAAACACTATATGGGCGACCGCCACCCACTATCCCTCACTATATAAAAGGCATGACAACTGTGAATGAGGTGGACCAACAGTTAACTGCACGAGATGAGCTCCTTAACTAACTCAAGAATCACTTACAAGTAGCACAGAATCGCATGAAACAATCAGTAGATAACCATCGTCATCATGTGGAGTTTCAAGTTGGTGATTGGGTTTTCTTAAGCCTTCAACCTTACCGACAATAGACCATATTCAAGAGGACTATCCAAAAACTAGTTTGACGATTCTTTGGGCCATTTCAAATCGAAGCACGAATTGGGCTAGTGGCATATCGCCTTAAGTTACCACCCTTTTCCCGCATCCATCTAGTATTCCACGTTTCCCTTCATAAAAAACAAGTCAGAGACCACACAATCCCCATCAAAGACCTACCGGCAACAAATGAAGACGAAAACGTCATCATACAACCCGAAGAAATTTTGGATACCCGCTGGCTAAAAAAAGGGACACAAGTAGTGGAATAAAACCTAGTCAAATGGAAGCACCTGCCCGTAGATGATGCAACTTATGAAAATATAGACGAATTAAGAGACCGCTTCTTTAAATTAAGCTTTGAAGACGAGTTCATTTTCAGGAGAGATGATGATAAACCCCATCCAGAAGATCTAGCCAAGTGCCCATGAAAAATCCCAAGTATCTCCAGTAACTGCCACTACTAGCAAAAGAAGCGGTCAACAAAACATTCTCAGTGAATCCCACGCTTCCACGATCTATTCTTCCATCAACCCTGTTATTTTTTTACTTTTATCTATTTGATTTTTTTATAATTATCTAGAAGTATAAAAGTAGGAAATGCAGTTGTAATCTTTCTCTATTTAAGCGCTTCAAAATCATGAATAAAGACATAGATATTTGCAGAATTCTTGTTGGTCTTTTCTCACCAAAAAAGAGAGCTTTTTGCTGTTATCTTGTGCATTTGATTAGGACCAACCATGGTTATAATGTGTCGCAGAGAAATGGAGCAGGTAAAGATATGGCCAATGCCGAAGGAAGTGAAGTATGGGCGGAAGAGCTTTTACCTAGGCGAGGATTTCAAACTGGTAACTAAGCACGATGACTCATCGGGAATATTGAAGGAAGAGTTTGATAGGATGTTTGGTGTTGTCAAAATGAGTCACGTCGTTGCTGCTAATTTATCTGGTTTTGCTAAATCCAATATTCTTCAAGGACTGCATATCGTTATTTCTTCGCCCAATGATGAGGTTTTTCCTTTGCTATTTGTTCCCTTTTTGTTTTTTTTCCGTTGATTTTTCCTAATGATTTATGTAGGCATGCTTCTTTCCTTTCACAAATTAATTGAATTTGGGAATTTGTTTTTGGTTTTCTCATTCAGTTATTTGAATTTATTTTTGTCACGGAAACGATGAACCATACAAGTTACTGGTTCCTTCCTCCGAGAAACCATCTTATGCACATTTGGAGGCAAGTCCAACTAAACCTTCTCCTGTTCTACTATATTCTTACTGTTTATTACCATCTTCAAAGAGTTTTTAGTTACGAATCTACTCCTCACCCACTTATAAAAAATATATATCCCGGTTTCGGATCCTTCTTTTTAATCTAATTAGTGTTTTAGATAATCTCTGATATTTTATTTGATGAGAAGTTGTTGAACTTATCTTCGCATTATTATGGTCACGAAGACAGATACTTGGACGGTGGGGACATCTAGAGTTAGCCAGGAGCAGTATTTTTAATTTTTTTTTGGTGATAACGAAAAATAGTCTTTTAAAAGAGAACAAAAAATCATTTTTCGTAGACGGTTATTACTGATTTTTAGTAGATTAGTTTCCTTGTAGTTAATTTTAATTACTAAAATTAAGTTGGTTGTGTTGTGAGAATTTTCTGATAAGAATGTTATTACTATTATTGTTTAAGGTCCATTAAAACCCATTTAAAAGAGTATTGATTTTAGAAAAAGGAATCTGAATCTTCATTTGCTAATACTTGTTTAGTAGAATAAAATCCTGAATATAAATTATCATTTCATTGCATTATTTGACGTACTATGAATTATTTAAAGATTATCAATAGTATTCTTGGGAAAATAACAATAGCCCCACAACTTTTGTATTTTAAACGTCTACATTTAGCTGTCTACGTTAATAAAATATACTAACTTGAGTTACAGACTTAAATACCTTAGTTACTTTTTACAAAACACTAAAATATCATATCTTTTAAACAAAATTTAATATACATAAAATATCTAGTTGTGTAATATTACTAAAAACTATCATAAACTATCTAGTTGATAATATTAGTAAAAACTATATTGATGTAAACTAAATATATATTTTTTTGGTTTACATAAATATTAAAATATTGATATTAAAAAATATGATATGAATCACTAAATAATAAGAGTGTCTTTCTAATTTTTGCCTACTGGATAAATATAATAATTAAATTAAAATATGACTAATTTAGTACTATTTTTAGTTGACTATACGTAAAAGTTTTTAGTTTATTAAATATTTTTTGCCATTTAACATTAAAGTATGAAGTTATTAACTATAAAATAAAATACAATGCCAAACGATTTCAGAAATATATAAATGAAGAGTATTTTGGTAATTCTATATAAATGTAAAAGACAAGATAATCACATTCACATTATCATTTTCAGTCTATTCAAAATTGTTTCGTAGGTGAACAAAAATTCTGAAACTAATATAGTAAAAACAAGAATTAAAATTAACATAAAAATAAAAAATTCAGAAAATATTATGAAATGTTAGAAGCTTGAGAAATCAGTATGAATAACTTAGTATACTTTTTTTTTTTTTTGGAAAATTTTATCCTAACTTAGTTCCTTTTATTATTTTATAATAATTTATTAATACTACTTTCTGCTTTACAAATCTATCTAAATACTTTTATTATTTTTTACCATTTCTTTTCTGAATATTATTTAATCAATTATGATGGCAAGAATTATTAATTTATACCATTTATCTGGATTTTAAACTGTTTTATACTAACTTCTAATTGTTTATGCTTATTTTTGTACTAATTTATGAAGATTTTTAGTTATTCCATGCG